TCTCTCTCTCTCTCTCTCTCTCTCTCTCTCTCTGAAAAAAAAATCCTCAAGAGGGAGCCAGGCCTGGTGTGTAATGATAGGTCATTCCCTCCGGAGCCACTTTGAACAAAACAATGGAGATTAAATCAAGCCGAAGGAAAAATGACACACAGGTGTATAAGCTGTCACCAGCCGGCTCCTTGACAGCCTACTTGGTTTATAAGTTGAACACTCTAAGATAATGACAGGGACAGCACAGAAGCCACACAATGTAACCTCACAGGTCACCACAGCCAAGTGTTGCAACTGTGAGTAATTACACGTGCTGTGTGTTTACCCCACAGCGGCACCGGGCGGGTGTGTGCACCAAGAGCAACACAAACACGTGAGTGACTAAAGGGATGCTCAGATCCGAGTTAACTGATACTTCCTCAAGGAGCACTCAGGCTTTGACAGTCCTCAGCCCCTCCCTCATTAGCAGGGGCTGTGCCAGAATGGATCTGGATGCTGAGACAAAAGGCTTGTTTTGTTTTCTTGGTGCTTTGGCATAGGATCTCATGTAGCCCAGGTTGGCTTCTAGCCTCCACCTCCCAGGAGTGGAAATGGAAGTAAAAAATTCTTTCAATTTTCTTTTTTTTTAAAATTTTGTTGTTGTTGTTGTTTTGTTTTTGTTGTTTTGTTGTTGTTGTTGTTGTTGTTTTTTCGAGACAGGGTTTCTCTGTGGCTTTGGAGGCTGTCCTGGAACTCGCTCTTGTAGACCAGGCTGGTCTTGAACTCATAAAGACCCCCCTGCCTCTGCCTCCCGAGTGCTGGGACTAAAGGCGTGCACCACCAATGCCTGGCTGAAGTAAAAATTTCTTAAGTCCCTACCTTATGCCCCTCTGGGAGTCAGGGCAGGGAGGGGGGATTGGGGTGGTGAGAAGGGACAATAAGCAGATAGAGCTGGTAGTCATGAGTACAGGAGGAGAGTGACAATTCTCAACTGCAGCCACCAGCTGGGGCAGGTGTGTGTGTGTGTGTGTGTGCCTCTGTATGTGTGTGTGTGTGTGTGCCTGTGTGTGTGTGTGTGTGTGTGCCTCTGTATGTGTGTGTGTGTGTGTGCCTATGTGTGTGTATGTGCCTGAGTGTGTGTGTGTGTGTGTGTGTGTGCCTCTGTATGTGTGTGTGTGCGTCTGTGTGTGTGTGTGTGTGTGTGTGCGTGTGTGTGTGTGTGCCTCTGTATGTGTGTGTGCCTCTGTGTGTGTGTGTGTGTGTATGTGCCTGTGTGTGTGTGTATGTGCCTGCGTGTGTGTATGTGCCTGCGTGTGTGTGTGTGTGTGTGTGTGTGCCTGTGTGTGTGCCTCTGAATGTGTGTGTGTGTGTGCCTGTGTGTGTGTGTGCCTCTGTATGTGTGTGTGTGCGTCTGTGTGTGTGTGTGTGTGTATGTGCCTGTGTGTGTGTATGTGCCTGTGTGTGTGTGGGTGTGTGTGTGTGTGTGTGTGCCTCTGTATGTGTGTGTGCCTCTGTGTGTGTGTGTGTGTATGTGCCTGTGTGTGTGTATGTGCCTGTGTGTGTGTGGGTGTGTGTGTGTGTGTGTGTGCCTCTGTATGTGTGTGTGCCTCTGTGTGTGTGTGTGTGTATGTGCCTGTGTGTGTGTATGTGCCTGTGTGTGTGTGGGTGTGTGTGTGTGTGTGTGTGCCTCTGTATGTGTGTGTGCCTCTGTGTGTGTGTGTGTGTGTGTGTGCCTGTGTGTGTGTGTGCCTCTGTATGTGTGTGTGTGTGTATGCCTCTGAATGTGTGTGTGTGCCTCTGAATGTGTGTGTGTGTGTGTGTGTGTGTGTGTGTGTCTCTGTATGTGTGTGTGTGCCTCTGAATGTGTGTGTGTGTGTGTATGTGCCTGTGTGTGTGTATGTGCCTGTGTGTGTGTGGGTGTGTGTGTGTGTGTGTGTGCCTCTGTATGTGTGTGTGTGCCTCTGAATGTGTGTGTGTGTGTGTATGTGCCTGTGTGTGTGTATGTGCCTGTGTGTGTGTGGGTGTGTGTGTGTGTGTGTGTGCCTCTGTATGTGTGTGTGTGCCTCTGAATGTGTGTGTGTGTGTGTATGTGCCTGTGTGTGTGTGCATGTGCCTCTGTGTGTGTGTGTGTGCCTCTGTGTGTGTGTGTGTGTGTGTGCCTCTGTGGGGGGGGGCTGTAGGGGGGACTGTGTGTATATGCATGTGTATTGGTGTTTTGCCTGAATGTATGTTGTATGTCTATGCATCATGTGTATGCCTGGCCAGAAGGCTAGAAGAAGGCCTCACATTCCCTGGAAGTGGAGTTATAGACAGTTGTGTGCTGCCATGTGGGTGCTGGGAATTGAACCCAGGTCCTCTACAAGAGCAGGCAGTGGTCTTACCTGCTAAGTTGTATCTCTAGCCCCTGCTCCTGACTTTTTTTTTAACTTTTTTTCTTATTTATTTATTTATTTATTTATTTATTTATTTATCATGTGTACAGTGTTCTGCCTTCATGTATATCTGCACACCAGAAGAGGGCACCAGATCTCATTACAGATGGTTGTGAACCACAATGTGGGTGCTGGGAATTGAACTCAGGACCTTTGGAAGAGCAGGCAGTGCTCTTAACCCCTGAGCCATCTCTCCAGCCCTGCTGCTGACTTTTTAATTTTTTTTTTTGATACAGGGTCTTACTATGTAGCTCCAGTTATTCCAGGACTCTATGTAGACCAGGCTGGCCTCAAACTCACAGAGATCCTCCTGCTTCTGTCTCCTGAGTGCTGGGACTAAAGGTGTTGCCACCACACCCAGCTGCCATTTCTGTTTTTGACACTTTATAGGACCTTCTTTAAGACAGGGTCTCATGTAACCTGGGCTAGCTCAAATCTGCTATGTAGCCAGGGCTATCCTTGAGCCTCTGGTCTTCTTGCATTCACCTCTTGAGTGTTGGGATCACAGGGGTTCACCACAGTGCTCAGCTCGTGAGATGGATGATGGATGACCTTCGAGGTCATGGGGAGCAGTACTTGGGACAGAGCTAAGGCCCACAGGACTCCAGAGCCCTGAGTTGCCCCTTCCTGGCCAAGTAGCCCTGAGTCACTCACTTACTCTTGCAGCTCCGGGTTTCCTTGTCCTGAAATACAACCTAATAATTGTTCCTGTCTCTCAAGGTGTGGGAGGGAGTGACATCATGCCTGTAAAGGTGTCCAGCAGCAGGGATGGGAACCACAAGCAGATGACTGGGACCAGGCCTGGAGCCACTGAGCAGCACTGAGAGGAGAGTGTTGTCACCACTGAGCACTGGGGGTGGGGACAGTCAGAGACAGAGATGGCACAAGTTCATCTGGCTGCAGATAGAACAGGGGACAGTGGGGTATGGTGTTTCAGTTCTGGTAGGAGAAGGGAAGTCTAACCTGGGAACTGCTACACACCACTGAAGGACCTGCTGTCACTCATAGAGCTAAGCAAGAGGAGGGGATGGACAAAATAAAGTCACAGTCCTTGAGACCAGAGAAATCACTGTGCTTGGGAACACACTGGGGGGAATAGCAGTGCCAGGGGATTCTGGTCAGGGTCAGGCATCAGAATGGGAAGCCAACCAAACCATCTCACCAGCCTGGCCATGGAACTCTGTCTTTTTAAAGATTTATTTTTATAGCTGAGAAGAAGTCCTTGGGACTAGAGTTTATGGATGTGGATGCGGGCAACTGAACTCAGGTTCTCTAGAAGAGCAGCAAGCTTTCTCTGTATTGCTTTGGAGGCTGTCCTGGAACTAGCTCTGTAGACCAGGCTGGCCTCGAACTCACAGAGATCTGCCTGCCTCTGCCTCCCGAGTGCTGGAATTAAAGGCATGGACCACCAACGCCCGGCAACCATAGGACTTTTTTGTTGTTGTTGTTGTTTGTTTTTTTAAAGATATATATATATATATATATATATATATATATATATTAGATTTTATTTATTTATTATGTGTATAGTCTTCTGCCTGCATGCCAGCACAGGGCACCAGATCTCATTCAAGGTGGTTATGAGCCACCATGTGGTTGCTGGGAATTGAACTCAGGACCTCTGGAAGAACAGTCAGTGCTCTTAACTGCTGAGCCATCTCTCCAGCCCACCATAGGACTTTTTAAGAGGCAGATAAAGACGGCTTGGCTTGTCGACACATGCCTGTAAACCCAGCATTCAGGAGACTGGAGGAGTTCTTCAAGTTCAAAGTCAGTCTGGGCTATATAGCAATACTTTGTCTCAAACAAAGGTTGAAAAGGGGTACAGCTTTAATCCCCCAACTCAGGAGGCACGGGCAAGTGATCCCTGTAGTTCAAAGCCAGCCTGGTCTACATAGCAGGACCGTCTCTCAAAAAACAAAACAAACAAAAGGAAAAAACGAAAGGAAGGAAAGCAGGCAGGCGGGGACCCTGGAAAGATGGCTCAGTGGTTAAGAACACTGAATGCTGTTCTAGAGGCCCTAAGTTCAATTCCCAGCACCCACATGTGGGCTTATAACCATCTATGATTAGTCTCATGGAATCTCATACCCTCTTTGGTGTGCATACAGGCAAAAAAATGCCCATATACATAAAATACATAAATAAATAAACCCCTAACATAAAATTGGCCTGGCAGTGGTGGTGAACACCTTTAATCTCAGCTCTTGGATCTCTGTGAGTTTGAGGACAGCCTGGTCTACAGAGTGAGTTCCAGGACAGCCAGGGCTACACAGAGAAACCCTGTCTTGAGAAAACAAAAAAAAAGAAAGAAAGAAAAAGAAAACAGGCTGGAAGTGGACTAGTAGTGTGCCCTCCTAGTGCGCAGGAGGCCCTGGGTTGAATGTCTAGTGCAGAAAAACGAAACAGAAGCTCACAGCACGGAATTCCAGCCTCACCAGGTTCAGGGAGCTGTCGGGGCATTTTGTTGGTCTGTTTGTTTAGACAGGGTCTCAACACAGTAGCCCAGATTCTCAGCAATCCTCCTGCCTCAGCTGAGTGCGGCCTTTTCACCGATACCTTGATAATTGCCTCTGCCTTTTACCTCTTGACCTGCAGTGAGGAACCCCACAGCGAACTGCTTCTCTGAGACTGCTGAGAGCCCAGCAGGCCGTCTTTCTCAGACACATCTAAGACGTGCACGCCCTCTGACCTCTTGGAGTCCATCCTAGAGAGACATGCACAAGAGTGCACAGGACAACCCCATGGGATGCTCACAGCAACACGGTGAGTCATAGTGACCTTGATGCCTAAGTAAAGTATAACATGCCTGTGCCTTGGAGAGCTAGGCAGTCAGGAAAAAGGCTTAGGAGGGCACACTGGAGGAAGTATCGCTATGACACATTGCAGAGAGTACCTAGCAAGATTCTTCAGGAAGTTATGTGTGGTATGTATACGAGGGAGGCCTTGGAAGGAAGGGGGAAGGGCGGTTTCCCCTGCAGAAGAATGTCCTTGTATAATGCAGGTAAAGTAGATTCATCTGTAGAATAAATCCATAAATACTCAACTAAGCAGTGGGAACGAAGGGGGCGTTGTTGGTTGGCTGGATTGAGATGGGGTTTCATGCACCATAGGCTGGCCTCGAACTCACTACATAGCTGGTTCCAGGACAGCCAAGGAAGGCTACACAGAGAAACCTGTCTCAAAAAAAAAACAAAAAAAAAACAAAAAA